AATAAGTTTGAACTGGATGAAACATAAATATTTAATATAATCTACGAATTAAATCTAAAAAGAGTAGCATGAAGTTATTCTTTGCCTTCCTGAGTAAAGACTTGCAGATCCTCTAAGTCTTTTAGAGTATGTCTCTTAAAAACTTTGCACATCTAAATCTGATTTAAAAAAATCTGAAACAAATCAAGCTAACAATAATATTTCAGGCTTTGCGTATGATTCTCGTGGGATATCCATGCCTTGGTCGCCTTGAGTCTATCAGAATGCGGACTACGTTTTTACTAGGATTGCCTCCACCCATAATCTCCCCATCAACTCTTACCATCTACTCTGCCCAACTTGTATGATGCAACCACCATCATGCTCAGCTATAGTCAAGATGATTTTTTAAAATGGTACTGTGCAAATTGTTTTACACTAGGTGTGGTCTGAAGTAGCCCACAATGTCTCATTTCTGTCTAAACTGACCAGCGAACCACCTTCAACTACATATTTTTTTGAAAGATCAATTTATGTGGTGTGTTGCTTTGTCTTCATGATGCCGTTTGCTCAGTAATGTTCATTAAAACAAGTCTGGGTTCATCAAAGCGTAGGTAGGATTACACAGACATAAAATTACACAATGGTGGACCATATTTACCTAATTATTTAATTAACCATACTCACATTTTCAGGAATAGAAGGAAGACTCTTTGGGTCTGGAGCGATAAAATATGGAATCTGCCCCAAAACAAAATGATACCACAAGAAAAATAATTAAAAAGTACAGAGAAAGTTATTTATCCAGTATTATTATGTACGTACATTCTTTATATTGTGCACATGTGAGTAAAAGGCTGAAAGATAAAATTTAACATGTTCATTCCAAAATTATCAGCCCATCAGATGTATTTCACCTTCAAAATATGCTACTGCTGAACAGTTTTCGTAGCTTTGAGTCAAAAACCTTTTTTCAGCCATCTACAGTGCAATTTTTCTGTAACAGTGCACAGTTTACTTCCTGATCATTTGCTAAAATGTCTTACCCTGATTTCAGATTGCCTAAACCTTATGTAGGCTGCAATAAACTCCATCCAAAAAGTGCCTTTTCTGACACTGATAGGTTGCAAAAGAGTTGTGATCTCCATTAATCGTTAATTTGTATGGAAATGCGATATATACATACATATTTTTATAGAGCAGATGGCTTTATTATTTTGGAATGACACTCAAATATGAAAATGTTACATCATGATAAAATAGTTAGATAATAGTTTAGAGCGACATGGAGTAATTTCTCAGACAAAACATTTTGATTACAAGGCATTAGTCATGACATTTGAAAAGACTATGGTAACCAATCCAAAGATCAGGATGAAAGGTAGCTTGTGTTAACTGTGTTAATTCAGGCATACACGTATAATCTTTTAGAGGGGTGAGTCAACAGAGTCTAGTTCACACAGCTTAAGTCATCAAGCAGACAGACAGCTTTTTCCCAGCAGGAGGGAGTTAGTCTGTGCAGGCCTGCCTGGATCCTTTGGGCAACATGAACTCCTGTGGAACTCACCCCCTCCTGTCCCTCTGTGTGTCCGACAGGACAGGACACATCAGTGCTCACCAAAAGCTGCTCTCCCTCAGGAAAAAAACACAACACGCAAACCACTGACAGAACACATTCCAACTCAAGTTTGACTCCCGGCTTCTCACTGGCTAATTGGGAGACTTACCATCTGCAGGGTGACCGATCCAGGAGCCAGAGGTATGGATTGTTTGTGGAGAACAGCCAGAAGCGCTTTAATCTCGTTAATCTGTTGACAAGATGGTATATTCATTGCAAAAGCAACTCTTTGTGAATTTGAGTAGAGATAAGAAAAACTAGAAGTCACCTGTCCTTTGGAGAGGTAATCCGCCAAATTGTTGAGAAGTTTGTAAAACACCTCAAACCATGGAAGATAACTAAGAGAAAACAATATAGGATTAAATGAATGTGAAACAAGACAGAAAGATTTTCAGAGATAATTGCATAATTAGGTGGCCAAGTTGGGGTATAATGTCTTTAAAAACATAAACAGAAATTCTACATTACAAAGGCCAGCTAAAAACTAATAAAAATGTCTTGAAATAAGTGTATTTACCTTTAATTTAAGTGAGTAAATAACATAATCTATGTTTGCCCTTAAAATAAGATAATTAGATATTATGCACTCGAAATAAGAGACTGCAGCTGTTTTTATTATTTTGAATGACAAAGAATTTAATAATTTTGAAATGGAGGGAACATAATGATCTAATATAATTTATGAATGATAACTTGAAAGTGTAGCATGAAGTTATTCTTTGCTTTCCTGAGTAAAGACTTGCTAAAAAAGAGCAAAAACACAGAAACAATTCAGACTCAGTCAGATTAGATGGAGACTGGCTGTAAAGATAATAGTTCAGGCTTTGCTTATGGTTCTCAATGGATATGCTTTGCGATATTTAGATATTATGCACTTGAAATAAGAGACTGTAACTGTTTTATTTTAAATTTAAAATAAACATTAGTAAAGTGTCTCACTTACCTGCTAGTTTAAGGACAAATGCTCTTATTTAAAGAAAAAATTACTAAGATTTTAACTTTCTCAGTGTTATAATTTAGGCATTTTTAAGCTCTCATTCAATATGCCTCTTAGACAGAAAAACAACGGAAATCCAAAAACCCCCTTGATTATTTCAAATTTACGATTTTCAACTAAGTGAAGACATTTTTTTTAGGTACTGTAACTGGATGGATTTGTAAAATAACACTTTAATTCAAATTAATACCAATAAAGAAATAATTCAGATAGAGTCTTGCTTACAGTTTCTGTCATACTCAAACTCAGATTTTTGCACAAGCTAGAAATGAGATTCTGAAAATAAAAAATAAAAAATGATTCTATATTTCTCAAAAAAAACAAAAACAAAAAAAAAAACCGTTCCAACAGATAAAGACTGGGTACAAAATCAAGGGACCCACAGTGGGTTAAAAGTAATACGCATGTTTTTAGGGAAATAAGCATACCTGAGGATGCAAAGGCACGTCTGTGTGCCATTGGTGAGGCGACAGAAACCAAAGCGCTGGCATCCCTCCAAGTCAGTCAAAACAAAAGTAAAGTGCTGCACGGCAACATTATCCTTTGGTCTGATCAGAAGAGGGTAGTAAGAAGAGGATATTTATTGAAATAAACAAGTGAAAGATGTGCAGCTAAAACCTTAATTCTTCCCAATTCACACTCACTTTTGTATGTCATATGGGAAGCAGAACTTTGGCAAAGTTTGAGTAGACTCCTTGAAAACGAGAAAGAGAGACAAAGACAAGACAGCTAAATAAGGAGAAAATTTGATGAAAAAGTAAAAGGTAAAAAAAAAAAGACATTAACATGTCAAAATATTTTTTGCTGTTGATCGTAGACTTAACAAGCCTGACTTTCAGTAAGACGACCATAAAAAAGATAAAACATTTGGAAGTCAACTTTTCCTCACTGATGATAAGTAGGTTGTTAATAGTAATTTTTTTATAATTTGAATATTTGAAAGGCCAGATGATATACAATCTAGTTAAGATGAATCAATTATCGTGGCTACCTCATCATCGAAGTCTTCTGGAAACTGAAACTTTATTCCAGGATCTGCAACATTAAAACAAGAAAATAAAATAATAAGTAATAAAGGTACACAAACAGAAATCACACAGGTGCAAATCAGTGAGTTAAACCTGTTTATTTTCTGCTATTAGTTTGGGAAAATAATCGTGAGCCATCCATTAGGAACAGAGTGATGTATATCAATAAATAGCTTATTTCTGTTTAATTTTGATAAACATTACATAAACCCAGCAAAAAAAAGTATTTCAAGACATTTTGATCTACTAATCAAGATTGTGGATGTAGTATAGAGTATGTGCACTCGTTTTTGCACAGCTTTGCACAAATGTTGAGAGGCTCAGAGGTGATCAACCTGTGGCTCTGCTGAGGTGTTCAGGGGGTCTGGTTGCTTTAATAGGGCCCTTCGATCCATTTGCATTGTGCTCTTTTATCTCAGCTTGTCTTTGTTATAATAATCCAAGTTGAAAATCAAATAAAATATTGATCGGTAAGGAAGAAAAACTAGGTTTTATCACGGAATTAATTTGAACACCTTGTGAAGTCTTTTCATTAAATTAACCAACGTGTAGCCTAAAAACACTGCTGGGAAAGAAGGCTTTCATGTCAAAGCAGGACCCAAAATAGCTACTGGATGCTTTCAGGTATGATTGTAATGTCCATACTGGTCTTTGTTAAAATATCAACCACGTAGCTGGAACGTGGATCATATCACAGCAGTCATGTTACTGGCTTCCTGTTTGTTAAAGGATAGAGCTATTGTTCATGATCCATCTGGTACTGAATGATCTCGCCCTGGAATACATCACTTTTATTTTCTTATAATTTGCTTGGCTTTTATCTATTAAAGGTTTCTTTATTTTATGTATGTGTCATGTAATTTTTGTTTTTGTTTTTAAATTAACATAAAAAAGCATGCCTTGCCTCTCTCTTGATATTCCAGTATGAACATAGAGTTTGTCAGTTGAGTTTCTTCCCCAAATAAGTATTTCCTCCCCATATCATATGGTGTAATTTAAATCTTTATTAAAGCAGGTATTGGGACATGTGGCAGAGTAGTCAGGTTCCTGCTTTAATAGAAATAGAAATAACACCATTTGATTGAGTAGAAATTTAACATCTCTAAAGTTTGTAAGCTGATCCAATATATCCAGCTTCACAGCTGTGCTTCTTTGGACAATTTAAAGTGAAACTAGAGCAGCATGAATTCTGGGTCTATCCTTTCTTCCTCCTGCAACCTTTATTCCTCATTGAAATGAAAAATGTACTTTTATCTAAAAAGATTTCAGACCACAGAACAACACTCTAGTCATATTTTTACTCTGTCTATGATTTGTTTCTTAATTGTCTACGTTTCTGGAGTAGCTTAACACAGTATATTCAGCAGCTGCAGCACTATTTGCGGCGGCTCTTAAAGCACTTCAGTCCACACTTGAAGAACCTCCCCCAAACCCTTGAACAGACTTTTCTTCACTGACTCTCCGTGCTGTTTTTAGCAGTTGCAAGTGAAACCTTTATTTAGCATGCTTTCCTTCCACTTAAGTTTAAATCAATATGTTTGAAAACAGCACCATAGGAACAGACTGTTTTTTCAGTTTTGTTTTTTTGGTAAGGCTTATTTCTAGACCTACCCTCCTTGTGCAGGATGTCAAAGGGTGTCTGCGAATCAGCTTTTATATATTGATGAAGTTTAAGATAAGTAAATGCTTGAAATTTGTCAATCTGTTTGTAATGTTCAGCATTTGAATTAATTTACTGAAATAAACTAAACTTTGTATTAAACAAATATTTTATTGTGAAACAAATATTTTGTTGGGGGAAAAAAATCACAGGAAAACAACAGGCTATACCAAATGTTTCCAAGGAATCAATAATCTTGAATTTGAAATCATATATGGTCAATATTGGGTCCTTTGGATCCTCACAGAGTTAACAGGATGCTCTCTCTGGGTTTTCTTGTGACTAAAATGGCATTGTGGTTTCTTCTGATCACGTGACAGGAAAAATGTGTCTATGCAGCATAAGCAGCTTAATACAAAAAGTTTATATGTTTAAGTTTTTTTCCCCTGATCACATAATCTTTTTTTAAATGTTTATACACTGGTTTAAAGGGTGTTTGATTCATGAGACACTGATTGTGCGCAGTTTAGTTTGAGCAATCCATTGAGTCATCTCATATGACTAGTCAAAGGTGTGTTAAGTCACAGGAAAATACTGGAAGAGGTACATCGTTGCAGAAAACAAAAAGTCAGTGCCATTGTAGAAAAAACAACTGTTTAAAACAGGGTGAGCTGAATCAAAGTGCTGTACAGGAAATAAAACCAAACCATTACCTATAAAGTAATGCTAACGGAAAAAGTATTACATACCGTAATAGGAAACAAGTTCTGTGAATAAACTCACCATTTTGAAGTCCAAGATCAGAAAAGACTAAATAAAATGGAAAAGTTATCTAAATTCACTACTAGTGAGAAAACCTTAGATCTATGAGTTTATTTAAAGCTTTCTGCAATCTCTAGAAGTTCATAAACCAAAGCTGTGCTTAAAGCCAAGTCTATGCAAGGAAAACATTTAAGTGACCAGCTTGGTTTGGTGTGTGGATGCTGCTTCAAAAGAAAGGTTTCCTCACCTTTGTCTCTGGCTACAGGACATGTTGCTTCAAAGAACCAGTTGAAAGTTCGCTCAGGGTTTTGTCTGACAGGAAAGACACCAACACCATATGTGTGAGATTATTATTAGTGTTTGCTGACAAATCCATGTTAATGTTGAATAAAAGGCTAACATTTACCAACTGAATGAATATAAATAAAAAAAATACATATGTGCTACTAAAGAAAATTGTTTTTCTGCTTGAAGTTTAATATAGACATGTCAAATATATAAAAGCTGTTTTATACTGCTTTCAGATTAAGATTAATTGTTCCATTATGTGTACAGCAGCAGTAACTGCAGGAAACTTCCTGTGCAGTTTTTGAGAGGAAGTTAATAAAAACCACAAAAACTGAGTGAGAGGCAGAGTGACAATGATGGAGGTCGACAGAAATCATAAACCAGTAAACTTACTTCAGTCTGGAACCCATCCTGCCTGGATCTGGCTGTTTCCATGTGCTTGTCCTGGAGGAGAGGCGTCCTCAGTGGTTCATTAGATGACTGACATTGCTCTGATGATGTATGTTTATAGATGAAAGCAGACAGCCAGAAGCAGTCTGCTCAGTCAGCGCTAGAGTGACAGAACACTTCCTGATCTATCTAAATATGCTCTTGTCAATGCGTGAATGACGTGTTATGAGACAGCCTTTGAAAAATATAACTCCCCAAATTAAGTTCATTCGTATGTTTTAAGTGTTAATCACATTTACAACACACAGACTTGGACATCTTTAAAAAAATAAATAAAAATCAGTTTACCTACTTAATGTCTTTTCGTTTATTTGGAAATCTTTAAATTACAGAACAGCTCTTAGTATACAGGTTTATGCAGCATTACCTAGTTTTAGAGTTCCCCCTGTAGAACTGTCAGTAAGGCTGCTGGTTTAACTTGATTTATGCAGCCATGCATGCACCGGTTTGACTATGCATCATATTGAGAACAGTGACACTCTCTCCATTTCCTGCTATTGTGTAAATAAAGATGTAGAATCTTAATCACAATGCATTTATAGTTGCCCCTCTTCAGGCTGTACAAAGAGGGAAATGACATTGTGATCAAAAAGGCCCTTTGCTGCCCCCTTGTGTTACTTTGGCTCATCTGAACCACACAGGTCTCCATTTTGATTAGATTACTTCAGCGACATCCAGAATAAAACAAAGGAAACGATTATTCAACAGTTCATTTAAATAAGCTTGTGAATAATAACCACGAGTGATCACACAGACACATAATTGTTTACAATAAATTTATTTCAACCAATGACTTATTGAACAAGTTTTCAAAATGGTCCCAGAATGAGCCAAATCTGAAAAACAAAGAAAAGACAAAGGAGCACTAACACACGTCTGTTACCTCTACAGGGGCCAACTACATGTTTAGTGTGTGAATCCTACTCTGATAGAGGAAAAAGGTGAAGAGAAGCAAGAGAAGAAGCTGGGAACATTATAATGGGGAAAGAACAACACATTCAGGAATAGTGCAAAAAAAAAAGACCAGAGTAGGAGTTGGATGAGCGGATGAATGAGTGCAGATAAGTAATGATGAATGACTTTTGCCTCAGGCGACTTCCTCCTCTCCCTCCTCCTCAAACTCTCCCTCCTCAGCTGTGGCATCCTGGTACTGCTGGTACTCAGACACCAAGTCGTTCATGTTGCTCTCTGCCTCGGTGAACTCCATCTCATCCATGCCCTCTCCAGTGTACCAGTGAAGGAAGGCCTTGCGGCGGAACATGGCAGTGAACTGCTCTGAAATGCGCTTGAACAGCTCCTGGATGGCCGTGCTGTTGCCGATGAAGGTGGCGGCCATTTTGAGCCCGCGGGGGGGGATGTCACACACAGCAGTCTTGACGTTGTTGGGAATCCACTCCACGAAATAGCTGCTGTTTTTATTCTGCACATTCAACATCTGCTCGTCTACCTCCTTCATGGACATACGACCTCGGAAAACAGCAGCCACGGTCAGGTAGCGACCGTGGCGTGGGTCGCAGGCCGCCATCATGTTCTTGGCATCAAACATTTGCTGGGTGAGTTCAGGCACAGAGAGGGCTCTGTACTGCTGGCTGCCCCTGCTGGTGAGTGGTGCGAAACCTGGCATGAAAAAGTGGAGTCGAGGGAAGGGGACCATGTTGACAGCGAGTTTACGGAGGTCTGCGTTAAGCTGGCCAGGGAACCGGAGGCAAGTGGTCACTCCACTCATGGTGGCAGATACCAGGTGGTTGAGGTCCCCATAAGTGGGCGTGGTGAGTTTGAGGGTACGGAAGCAGATGTCGTATAGGGCCTCGTTATCAATGCAGTAGGTCTCATCAGTGTTCTCAACCAGCTGGTGCACAGAGAGAGTGGCATTGTAGGGTTCCACCACAGTGTCTGACACCTGTGCAAACAATACTGAAGTTTAGGGTAAAAGCTAAAATACACAAAAACTAGTGAGGTCGAATGACTACCATACCTTGGGAGAAGGCACCACACTGAAGGTGTTCATGATACGATCAGGGTACTCCTCCCGGATCTTGCTGATAAGCAGGGTTCCCATGCCAGAGCCGGTACCACCACCCAGGGAGTGTGTGAGCTGAAAGCCCTGCAGGCAGTCGCAGCTCTCGGCCTCCTTCCTCACAACATCCAGGACTGAGTCCACCAGCTCGGCTCCCTCCGTGTAGTGGCCTTTAGCCCAGTTGTTTCCTGCTCCACTCTGACCTGTAACAAGATTTTGCATTGATTCGACTTATTATTGCCTTCATAGCAAAACATAATCCAGTTTATGTCAGTGTGTTACTGAAGCAAATCATAAAGCTGGTCACCAGCCTCCCAGTGGTCTTCTTCAACCTTTGCCTATCCCTAAACATCCGTGGTCTCATACTGCCTTTGATTTCATTTCTGGACTACCACCATCCTCACTATAATTGATCACTTTTCCAAAGCCTACCACCCTCCCTTGGGACAGCTCAACTCCTGACTAAGCGTATTTTTCTTCTTAATGAAATCTCTTGTGAAATCCTATCAGACATGGGTCCGCAATTTATCTTCTGGGTCTGGAAGGAGTGTGGAACTTCTTTGGGGGCCCAAGACTGCTCTCCGTTCAGGTTTTTCATCCCCAAACAAATTGTCAATTCAAACGCATGAAAGGTTTGGCTAACAATTTGTGACAGGCTTCTTATTGTGAACTCTCCCAGATTCATCGGTCCATTTGAAATCCAGGCACAGCTTAGTAGCTCTGCGGTTTGCCTCGAGCTGCCGGATCATTTAAAGATTTATACCATTTTGCACAGGATTCTCTTATCAAGTCTGTCCTGTCTGATCCTTTTTGTACTTTTTTGGTGTGAGAGCTTCCTTTCCTTTCCTTTTCCTCTCAGAGAGGATCTTTGCTGGTGGCTGGGCCTACTCATGTTGCTGCACACCTTTCCCAATCAAGATGACTAGCATGTATATAAGGAGGCGAAGAATCAGCTCTCTCCCTGATGAAAAAAACCTAAACCAGGAATATCTTTCTTGTTTAAATTTCTTTCCTTGTAAATCTCTTTTAATGTGGATGCTATTATTATTCCAGACAACCAGTAAACCTCTGTTCGTCTTAGATCTTCATGAAAAAGGTCTCATCTGTGTGCAGCAGTTCTCAGTCTTCATCGCCTGCTCTCCAACATGACGTCTCTTGCAAGAACCAACACTCTCGGATCTCATTCACATTCTCCTGGACCTCTGGGGTATAGTCTGCAAAAGCCCGCTGAATGAAACCCCTACAGATCCATGCTGCTTCCCCTTCATCTCTCAAGTAAGCATACATTTAATTTGCTTTTGCTATAGCCATTTGCATTCTCCATCAACTCGTTTAAAAAATTTTTATTCTAGGCTGCTGTTGATCCCACAGAAATGCAGTACTGTTTTAATGTATGCTAAGGTACTTATTTTTATTTTATGGATCTGAATTCATATCTAAAATGGAAATCTTATCAAATAAATTGGGTTAATATGAGCAACTAGAGACCAAATGTATTTTGTACTTTTGTGTAATACTTTGTATTAGAGCAGGGCGATGTATCGAATATACTTGATATATCTGGAGTTTCCCCACAATTGTATAATATGTTGATTATTTCATCACCTAAAAATTCATCCACTGATAAATGAAGAACGTTATCTCCACATGTCAGCATCTCCCCGCACAACAGTTAAAACGTTAATCAGCTGTGATGAAGACATTGGCCTCATCATTTGAAAAAGCATTAGAATATGAGAGAAAACGGAAGAAAAGGAGGAAAATCACAGACGCTATATATTACATTATTTAAATGTTTTTTAGATGCTCCAATATCTTTGATGTGATTAATCTTGTTCAGAGGTTTTCCAGGCGTTTTGTAAACTTGGCAATGTTGTCTTCTTTAAAATTCTCAGCATGTAAAGATCAATGCAAATAGTTTGGAGATGCTCTTATAATGCTCTAATTTTTGGAGAGTATTTCAACTTCTGATTTTGTAATTTAAGATTAATTTTAATTTTTTCATTCTGCTTTCCGTTTAAATTATGCATAAAAGAGCTCTTTTTAAATTTGCATGCATTTAGTATTGTGTGTTTTTTCTTTGGTTCCCGTTTGGTTGCTGGGATCTTGGTAAAGGTCTAATACTGAATCCGAAAAACATAATGTGGCAGTATTATTTGTGAAAAGCTTTGAGCTGGTTAAAATGAAAAATTTTAAATTTGAAAACAAAACATTTTTATGTCAGTTTGAATGAGTATATCAGTGCAATTTTCATGCACTATTGTTTTTGAAGGCAATTCAAACATATTGTTATATTTTTGGTGTATCGCAACTATAGCCCAAATATATTGTGAAACTAGATTTTCTTCATATCGCCCAGACCTACTTTGCATGCTAAAAACACATAACAAAGAGAGCATTGTTTATAACTTATACCAAAGACAAAGTTGTCCGGCCTGAAGATCTGTCCAAAAGGGCCAGAGCGAACAGAATCCATGGTGCCTGGCTCCAGATCCACCAAGATGGCCCTTGGCACATATTTTCCACCTGGAACAGAAATAAAGCCCAATATATAAATTTTTTTCCTCCAGAGGGGGAGGTTATTATTTCAAAATATAGAATTTCAAAAATGAGAAAAATCCAATAATCAAACCTGAAGCCTCGTTGTAGTAGACATTGATCCGATCCAGCTGCAGATCGCTGTCCCCATGGTAGGTCCCTGTAGGATCAATCCCGTGCTCATCACTGATTACCTCCCAGAACTTGAGACAGATCAATCAATACGTGAGATTAGATACAGAGATGAGCATATTAATTATTTAAAAAATATATAAATGAACAGCTTGCAACTAATGCCCTCTGTCTATTATTTATAGTAATCAAGATCTGTGAGTCTATAGCTGCCCTAATAAATTCTAGGTAATTAATCTGATAAACCCATCAAAATATTTTTTATGTACAATTGACAGTAGCGGATTTAAGAATTCATCTTGATAAAACTGTGAACATACACTGCATTTTATGTTTAAGATTTAGTCCAGTGAAAACACTTGTCTGATTTATCTGCAGACAAACAGAATCTTTTTTTAAATTGAAACAAACAGTGTCTAAGCAAAGATGGATTATCTTGATTCTTGTCACCAGGGACAGATTAAACTGGGGCTCACAATGACACATTAAAACTGGCCTTCCAATGTCAGCATCCATTTTGTTGGGAGTTTTTAATTCTCATGTTCCTGTTTTTTAAATGATAGTTTCTATAGTGTTAAACGATTCAGAATTTAACTATAATGTTTAGTTTTTAAGAGAGTTGGCATTAGGACCTTTGCTTCAGAGCAAAATAGTCCGTCGCCATTTTTAAATGGTGAAAATATATCAAATGGTGAAAATATGTAAAATGATTAATATTATTGTTAAGCTCATTACCAGCTAATTCCCATACAAGTTTAACATTTGCTCAACCACAAAGGCTGTGTGTTTTAAGCTTTGTTAGCTGAACCTGCATCCTAGAGTTCGCTAGAGCCCAAATTGATGAGAATTTACTGGTTGTCAGCTCTAACCATAACAATAATATACTGCTATTAAGAGGGTGGAGCCCATCACCCAGCTCAAGAACACAGGTCAGAACTAAAGGGGAAGAGAAAGGGCA